TATTTAGTTTCTTCCACTGGCCAAGCTAATATTCTCCTTTTCACGTTTATTTTATTTATTTATTTTGTAAAGTCTGAAGTGCACATTGGCAGAGCGGCATACTGTAAATCCTCTGGCTGATCGGAAGCCCTTTTCTCCAACACATTTTGACTAGTGAGGGGTCGCTGGGACCCCAAACCAAGTCCTCTGCCTGTGTTCTGCCTGCTGCACAGACCCCTCACCCCACCCCTGCCTCCAGGCACACCCCTGACCCTTCCTAGGTTCCAGATGGAGATGTACAGAGCAGGTGGGGCCATCGCCTGCTACATGCAGCCCAGGGGGGGGTCTGCTGCCTCCTGTCACCCGCTGCCTGTCTCCCTCATTTCCCCAGAAATCTGACATTTGGGGTTTGGGGGAAGGAAGGGGGAAAAAAGGCAAAAGTCAAACCTATGACTGACAGCTGATGGCTCATTCCTCCAGTTATAGCCTCATTTGGTTATGGAAGGGGTGATAACACGCGGAAACGAATCACCTGTGATCAAGAGCCTTCCCTCCAGTGGCTACAAAATGGGTATTTCTGAGGAGGAATCGGTGGAAATGGCTGAGAGAGATCTCCCAGGTTGTTTTCAAGATTCTGACTGGGGAGCAAGCACTTCGTGCCATCAGGCAGGGTCCACGCTTTTTTAAAAACCGTTTTTAGAAGCTGTGGCCTGTCAGGCATCGGGCTGCGGAGGGACCCTGCGTTAGGTGGGTGTCCTTTAGGGGTCGGTCCGTCCCTGGCATGGGACTGAAAAGTGGGTACAGGTGAGGAACCCAAGGCTCAGAAAAGTGAGGTGGCTTGCCGGGGCGGGGGGGGGGCTCTGGAACTGCACCCCTCCCGACTGGCACCAAAGCCCATGCTCCCCATAGTCTTCCCCAGAGCAACCCATCATCTAGTCACCACACGACAGTAACGTGAGCAAAGATGCTGGGGGAGGGGAGCACACGACAGCTGTTGGGACTTGGTTTCTGATGGTAGAATTCTCTAAGCCCAATGGAAGTTTCTCCTCAACTCCTGGAAGACCTACGTTAGCACAGCGAACAGCAGGGAATGATGGAGCTGGGGTAACAGCACCCGCAAGGGAGGAGGAGGAGGGCACGAATCCGCAGCACGTGGACCGTGCTCCAGGCACGCGTCATTTGCACCCCACAATTACTGTTGGGTGCGCTCCCATATGAGAAAACTGCGGCTCCGAAGGTCAGGTTACGTGGCCCAAGGCTGGCAGGCAGCACGCGGCCTCCCTGGTGCAGGCCGAGAACCCCAAGCCCCCCAAGCCCCCTTCTCCCCACCCCTCCTCAGATAACGGCACAGACACTCCTGCTCTTTGCAAACCCCGGAGCCCACCTCTTCTCCCCACTCCCCCCCTAGGGTCTGCTACCCCCACCTCCCGGCTCCGTCAGACGCGTCCACGCAGCTGGGAGAACACAGTGGGAAGGGGACGGAGGAAATGGGAAGAGCTCCTCCAGAGGCAGACAGCTGCCCCGGAGTCGGGTCTCCAGGCTGAAGCCCCCGCCTCTGCCCTACTGCCCCTCTCCGTCCCCAGACGGGCCTCAGACACGGGCTCCACGGACCTCCCCTGCCCACAGCACGCAGCCAGGGCGCAGGGCCATAACTGCACACATCAAGGGCGGGATTGCTGCCTGCTCACATTCAGCCGCATCCCCCAAGGGGGCAGAGAGGCAGCCCAGAAGGCCATGCTCCCACCCCCTGAGGGTTCCGTCACCCCTTGGCCAGGTGGGGATGCTCGGGCAGGGGAAGAGCAACAGGTGCTTGTTTAGTGAATGAACAAACGAACAAACGCTCTCCAGGATACAAAGCTCCAGAAAGTTCCTCCTGTTACTCTCCTACTTCTCTATCGTTAAAAAAAAGAAACGAAAAAAACATTAACTCTTCCTTTTATGCCCGCCTCCAGGCTCCAGTGTCCCAAGGAAAGATCCGATCCAGGGTCCTACCCGGGTGCAATGACTGATGACGGGATTTCAACCCCCGTCTTGCCCTGGGGGCGCCCATGAGGGTGGAAGGGAGCCCACACAGTTACAAGCCAGCCCTGCCCATCCGCCTCCCAGATCTCTGCCTCTAGAACCACCTGGAAGCCAAGAGGGCTAGAACCAGTCTAGACAACACGCAGTCTGTCGGCCCCAGGAAAGGAAAGACACTGTGGGTCACCATGGGAGCCTCACTTGAGAGAGCCAAGCCAGAGGCCAAGTCCCAAGAGGTTAACAGCCATGGACCCACCAGCAACCGGCCCCGGGGAGCACGGTGAAGCCCCGTCCCCTCCGCCCCCGCCAGCCCAGACGGGAAGCAGGGACAGGAGAGGCCCGGGCAAGGCCAGCGGTGCCACGGGCCTGGGCAGCAGCTGTGCGGATTTCCGGAAGCCCGGGTAGAGAAGCGCCTGTGATTCCTAGTCCCCCTCTTAAAATATAAAGCCTCAATTATCTTTGAGCAGCTTGCTTTACACATGAATTGACACATTTATTTTACAATAAATAACTGAAAGTTATCTGTGTTTCCTTTACTGTTAATCTACACAGAGAAATAATAAACAGGGCTTGTCTACAGAAATGCAAGTAGTGCAAGTCCTCAGAATTCAATTAAGCTAAAATAATTAATGCTCCCACCATATTAAATTACTTTATACATTTGAGCCACTGAAGTTTTATTCTTTAATCTTTTCCTTTTTATTAAATAAAAAAAAGAGGAAGAAGAAGAAGAAAAAGAAAAGTTGGTGCCCAAGTGAGGAGGGGGAAAAAGGGAAGAGAGAGACTGAAAAGAAAGTGCGATGACGGCACGGAGACTGTTTTGTGCCTTTGATTAGAATAACATTTTAAATGCTTTGAACAAACATATCTCTTTAGACTTCTAAGGGATTATTTTACATATTTCTTCAAGAATGAAGAAATCCATTCGTCCTGTTGCTGAACAGAAAAGGCCAAGAATATCTTTCGTCACACATAAAATAAAAATACTGTAGGCCGCTGCAGTATTAGAGCCCGAGACAAGGGATGCAGGGTGGGGGGATGAGGACAAAGCCGCCTTGCAGATTAACTTTGCCTTTTATGAAATCACATTTAGTCGCTTTCTTAAACAAACCTACCCACAGTGATCGGCAGCCTCTCGCTGGGAAATACCTTCAATGTAAAAGGAGGGCTTGGATGGTTTTCAGTAAAAGCAAAACGCCTTTCCATTGAGACAGAAGTAGGGACCAGAGTCTTATGGGCAGAAGCCCCCCACCCCCCACCCTCGCCAGAAAGGTCTGTGGACACTGACACCGGGTGTTTATTCTACTCCAGGAAACTCTCCCCTCAGTGTCAAAGAAAAGAAAGCCACGGGGACCCCCACAGCACCAACCTAAGGGACCCAGCACCCTTCTCGACTAAGGAAGGCAGCACTGCTCAGCACCGCGGGGCACTCTGAGAAACTGGGGTCAACATGACCATGGCCCTGACCGTGTTGGACTTTCTCCTCAAAGCCCCTGGCAATTTGACAGCGTGTGAGATGTCACTGCAAGACTCCCACCGGAAGGTGAGGCCCACAGGCCAGTATGATTCGATGGGGCCTCCCCAGCACCTCGCATGTGCCAGTGGGAGTCTGCACACCACCACAGTCTCTTCACAAGACAGATCTCATTCATCCCATTTTACAGATGGGCACACCGAGGCCCAACCTCTCCGAGCTGCCACGCAGCTCGCTGGCTGCATTATGCTGACTGCCTCCTGGGGGATGGGGCCTCTGCTCCATCTCACCTGCCGGAAGCAGGTGCCCTGGGCCCCCAGCAGGCCCGCCCTCCAAGGAGGAGCACCCAGAGCCTCAGTCCCTCCAGCACCTGCTTCCACACTGAAAACACGGCCGGCACTCCTCGCACCCCGCGGCCCCAGAGGGGACCCCTGATAGGAAAGTTCCACTAGCAAAGCATTTACGGAGCCCCTGCTCATTCAAGCCTCACACCAGGCCGACCAGTATTCCCATTCGCTGTTGACAGATGAGAAAACTGAGGCCTGGACCCAGGAAGCAGCATGTCCAGTGTCAACTGGCAGGATTTGAACCCTCTTCCGCATGCACTCTGATGCCATCTTCCTGTAGGTTCTAGGGAACACGGGCCACCAAGGCCCTCTTCCTTTGCTGGGCCTCCGAGGCTCGGAAGTGGGAACCAGAAGCAAACACTGCACAGAGCAGGGGCTCCCCGGAGGAGGCTCTAGGGCGGCACGGCCACAGCCCGGCGGGACCTGGTGCCAACTCACCGTGGCCAACAGACCTGACTGGAGGACGCGACCTGACACCGGCTGTCCGGCTGGTCATGACAAAGGGCATGTCCAGCCTCCGGAGCCGGGCGCCATACCCCAGCACGTCCCCACGAGCCCTTCCTTACACCTACCGGAAGGATCAGACAACATCAGAAGGGGCCTCTGAGATCACCTCTGGTTACACATGGGAATCTGAGGCCAGAAAGACGAAGAGGAGGAAATGAGGCCTCCTGTTCCAAAGTGCTTACCGGGCCCTCCCCTTGGGCCACATCTTCACACACACTTCACACACACTTCACAGCAACCCTATGGAGACAGATTTCATTAGCTCCATTTCACAGATGGGAAAACTGATTTGTCCAAGCTATGAAGAACAGAGTCCAATCCAGGACTGGTTGGCTGCACAGCCAGAGACTAAGCCAAGAACACCAGCAAACCGAGGGCCATGTAGCCTTCCGAATTTCTGTTCTGTACCCCTGGCCACCTACACCCACAACAGAGTCTCACTACCAAAAGCAAAGCAACCCTCAGCCAGCTGTGCCTCTCTGAGCCCCGGGTCTGTCTCGTCCTGAGGGTCACCCGGACGGTGGCCCCTCAGAAAGGGCGAGCCCCAGCTGGCGGTCCTATCCCCATAGGCCCCAGACCCTCCCAGCAGACACCGGGCCGGGCAAGGTGGGGAGGCGGGTGTGGGAGCCGGGAGATGGCTTCGGCAGCGTCCTGGCTGGTACGACTTTCCATACCTGCCATGTTCTCCTGCTTGGGGCAGATGCCTTTCGTGGGTGAGAGCAGGTGGTCATCTTCGTCGGGCGTGACCTGGATCCCGATCTCCACCGGCTCGGACACTTTCCTGAGCTCGGAGCGTGAGGAGGGCGGCGGGCTGCCCTTGTCCAGGCCTTTGTCGTAGCAAGCACCCAGGCTGCCGCCACACTGTTTCTTCTTGTGCTCTATAAAAACCAGGATGTCCCCCAGGGGGAAGTTCATCTGACACTGTCCGCAGGTGAGCAGGTCAGGGTCGGGGCCACCCACCATCAGCCCCAGGCTGCTGGGCTCCTCTATCTCCAGACCCTCGTCTTCTTCGAGGATGGCGGCCTCCACATGGTCAGCCTCTGCTGGAAGAGAGAGAGGAGAAGGGGGCAGAGAAGACAGAGGTGGGCTTAGGCAATCACAGGCTCCCCTCGGCCATTCCAACCCTTCCCCAGCAGGAGGAAGATGCTAGAGGTCAGCAAGCCCCCGCATGGCCCCTGGAAGTCACGGATGGGCAAAGTGAGGCTCCAGGAGCAACTTCGCAGCTCCTGTCTGTGGCTTAATGCACTGCTGAACTGACTGCTTTGTAGTTTATTTGCTGTCAATTCCCCCCCAACACCCTCCCCCCACGAAACAGCATGTAAACACACACACGTGCACACGCACAGAACGTCCATCCCGCTTTCACAAGCGGGTCCTGAGCCCGGTGCTTCGAGCTAGAGATGTGTCTCTCCCACTTTACATCCTCTGAGAATCACCCGGGGAGCTCCAAACCGCCCCCCACTCTGTGCTCTGCCGGCACCTCAGACCAGTTACAGGGAGATCCGAACACCAGATTGTCTCTTTGTTTTTTAAGACTCCCCAGGTGATGCCAGGGGGCAGCCAAGGCTGTGAGCCAGGGCCGGTTGACCCCTGCTTGGGCTGGATCTGCTGCCCTCCCCCTTCCCTTCCACCTTTCATTCCCGTCCTCCCCATTCATGGAAGCCCTGCTCGTCTCCATCTACCTCAGACCTGGCCGCACCCCAGACAAGAAAGCAGCACCCCAGACAGGCATCAGGCAGCCAGCCCTTGGGAGAGAAAGGAGCCCACATGCTCAGAAAGCAACAAGTGAGTGTTGGTTCAAAAAGAAATCGTGAAGGAAAGCACAATGCCGGGGAAGGGAGAGTGCTCGCTGAAGAGGGAGCTGTCTTTCCTGCCAACCGCGGGCTCCTGCCCTGGTCGGACTTCCATCACTTTGTAGATTTCCCAACACTCGTCAGCTCCCCCACTGTCTGTTTGTTTGTTGGTTTTATTTTCACTCCCAGAGAAAGGGGGAAAAAAACTGTTCAGACTCCAAAAGCATTTCTTGGCCGATGAGAAGCCACACTTTGAATGGGCTGCACATTTTCACGTTTCTTTAGCAGTCGATATATTTCCTTTTTTTTTTTTTTTGGTAGGGGACATAGGACCCAAATATTTTGAAGCCAATAAATGCCTCAAAAAGCAGCAACCCCCAGGGGGAAAGCTGGAGGGCTCGGCAGCCAAAAGTGTCATAAATAAGGGAAGTGGACACTCAGGGTCTGAGCACACTTGGGTTAGAATTTTTCCAGAGCCAATAACTTGGGCGTAAAGATGGCACAAGTGTTAGGGTCCTCAGAAGAGCCAAGAGGCATCCAGAGGCCTGCGACCCAAGGAGGCAGGTAGACGTTAAGTTGTACGGTATTTAAGTGAGGGACGATGAAAACCACAGAGGAACAGGGAGAAGGAACAGAAGGGAGGAAAGCACATTCCGTGGCCGTGAAGTTACTGACGGGCCAGAGCCAAAGAACAGATAATTTAAGGAAAAAATTCTGTGGCATCTTCCATCCTACATATAAATCACTGTTCTGGATTTTCTAAACACAGCTTCTTCAGGGCCTGGGAGAGTCCATGTGCGATGCTGAATGTAGCATGGACCGTATATGCAAACAGCACGTTTGCACCCCACGTGGACTGGTGGGCACATACATAGGTGTTGCTGGGAAGGGAAGTTACGATTTGAGATCCTGCCTGTGGTTACAAAAAAGCAGACAGAGACCTCCATGAATTATATATAGACATGCATTAGACCCATGGCACTACAAAAATACCCTGAAGGTGAAGAATTTCTAAATCTGTTGCCTGCATATCTCTAACACAAAGAACCTATAAGGTAAGAAAAACAGTTTTCACCAAGCCAGCCCCGGGAACCATTAATTACACTCTTACTAAAAAAAAAAAAAAAAAAAAAAGGGGGGGTGGGGGCCAGGGTAACTCAGTTAAGTGTCGGACTTCGGCTCAGGTCATGATCTCACAGTTTATGGGTTCAAGCCCTGCGTCAGGTTCTGTGCTGACAGCTCAGAGCCTGGAGCCTGTTTTGGATTCTGTGCCTCCCTCTCTCTCTGACCCTCCCCTGCTCACTGTCTCTCTCTCTCTCTCTCAGAAAGAAAAAACAATTAAAATTTAAAAATGTAAAAAATTAAAAAAATTTAAAAAAAGAATCAGGAATTTGGTTAAAAAAAGAGCTGAAAGACAATACACAATTAATTTACCAATTTATTTTATGAAAAGATGCTCTGGTATGGTTAAAATGTAATCACAACCCTCACACCAAACGGTGGTTGTAGGGGGACCAGATTCCTGCAAACGGTTTGTCAGAATGTAAAAGGTAATTATTCGGTGCTTCTTTTCCCTTTAATGATCTAACATTGAGCAATACTGTTTATATTGAAAAGCTCGCACCTTTAATTACCAATTACATATACATAATTTCAGAGCCAAAGGAGAGGGCTGTGAAAACAGTTCTTTAGAAATATAAGGATGTATTGTGCGCCATTTCTAGAGAGGGAGCTCTAATAAATGGGAGGAGGATGTCAAAATATTGTTTTGTTAAAAAAAAAAAGGAGAGAGGCACAAAGGAAATGAGCTGAAAAAAAAAAAAAAAAAAAAAAAAAGGACAAAATGAAACAGCATTCAGACGGAGCAGGGGTGAGCTTGCTGGTGGGAAGGGTAGCAAGCCACTGGTGAGCAGGCCTGGCACACATCACAGTCACTGTCCCTTCCAACGTGACCATCCTCGCTGAGGACTAGGGGCGGGGGCGGGGAGGGGGGTGTCTGCCGCTCAATAATTTAATCTTTCTTTTCCTTGTTCTGTTTTGTTTTGCTTTTCATTAACTTTTTCAGCCCTGTCTGTCTGCTCCCCTGGGAAGAGCTCTAGAAAGCTCCAACACCTCCTCTCTGCTCCCAGGGTTTAAGCTACATTAATTTCAATTCGTCCTTCTAATTCAAAAGAAACACCGGCTACTTTGAAAATGAGCAAAGGTCATGTACGCCTGTTCATGAGCTCTCTCTCCGGACCCTTAGTACCAGCAGTTCTCTCTCTCTCTCTCTCTTTTTTTTTTTTTTTTCTGGTAACATCTGGTATTCTTTCCTTTATTTGGCTCTCTCTGCCTTTTCACTTTCCTCATGCAGCAGGCCTTGTGAACCCCCTTCACTGAGTTTGAAAGTATATCCAAAACTGTTCACTGAGCTGCGGTCCCCACTCTGGGCCCCGCCCCCTCCCCCAGCCCCCTCTGCGGCCAGGCCTCCTGGGCAGCCAGCCCCCGCGGGGTGTCCTGCAGACAGCTCTGAACCCGGACCTCCCAGCACCCAGCGCCCAGCTCGCCTGCCCCCGAGGGAGGGCCAGGGGCAAGAGAAACAAACAGACAAATCTTCCCTCCCACTGTCAGTGTTGAAAGTAAAACGCGAAGATGACAGCTCCAAGAATGGGGTTTCCTCTCTCCACCCCTGGGCTGTGGGGCCCTGGGCTTCGCCCGCAGCCTGAGATACTTCCCAGGAGGGTGGCAACAACACCCCCCCCCAAAGTTCAGGCAGCAGAGTCAGCATGAAGCCCTCAACTGTCACGCTTTGGGGCGCAGGGGGCGGACCAAGACAGCTTGCTCAGCCTGGAGGCTCATGTCACGGCCCTCGGAGACACCTCCAAAGTCGGGCTGTGGCTTCATTTCCGCCGGCAGGCGGATACCAGGCTGGGTGTGTGGGGCGCGTGTGCGCGCGCGTGCGTCCCTTCTGAGAACTGTACTGACGCCGGCAGAAATAAAAGGAGAAGAAGCCACTCGCCACGCTGAGGGAAGGGCCCAGGGAGACAAGCCTGGCGCTCCTGGAACCCTCCTTTCCCTGTCCCGTGGGCAGCCAGGGCCTCCGGGCCCCACACAGCTCAGAGACACCAGGCCCCGGCTGGCGGAGCCAGAGCTGCCCAGACTGTCACCCAGAGAGAAGAAAGCACCGGGCAAGGAGAAAAGAAAAGACACAGAACAAAACCAGCTTTTCGAATTCCCAAGACCCAACAGGCCAGCCCCTCAGGCTGCCTCGTCCTGCAAACTCAGGCCCTTGAAGAAAGAAGGCAGAGATGAGGTCTTCCCTCCGACATGACTTCTGCTTTCGTGAAAACCTCCCCAAGTGTCAGGCGGCTCGGAAAATATTGCTGCTCTCGCCGTTATGAGCCGAATGAAGGACAGGGATTGCTAAAATGTTTGACTCATTAAGAGGAAAAACGAGTGGATGCGGCGGGCCTCTGGTTCAAATGTCAGCTATCACACTGGGGTCAGTTCTGAAACACGAAATCCTAAAGCTCGTGGACAGACATATATTTTCTCCCTCAAACACACACACACACAGAGTTAATTTTCTTTTACAACAAAACCACATTTTATTTACAAGACTAGACCACCTCCCAGCTGATAAACGCATTTAGAAGCAATGAAATCAGGGTTCACAAATAGTAGTGGATATTTGTTAAGTAGATGGGGAAGCGCCTGATCTTCAGACGAACCCCCTCACGCCTTAGCTCGGCTGGGAAGGAATTTGGGGCAGAAGACAGAAATGGAAAGACCTCATTAAGGCGGACCGGCCAAGCAGCCAGCAGCCCGCCCCCCCACCCCACCCCCTCAGCCGCTGCTAAGGCTTAGCAGGGCCTTACCTGGCCAGTGATTTCCCCCACACGCAGGGCTCCAAGGGCCCCACCCGCCCTGGTCCATCTGTAACAACTGGCCATGCACCTGCCCTTTGGGGGAATTCCAGCCGGGGGGCCGACCGTCCGCTGTCCCAAAAGCACAGTGCGCCTGCCTTGCTTCACTTAGGGCACACAGGCCCATGCTGCCCCTACCCTGCACCGATTCAAATCCAAATCTCTAACGCCTAAGCCCCAGTCCAAGAGAAACCTACAAGAATTATTGTGTCGGTGATGGGGGCATGGGGAGGAGAAGGATGTGGGGGGAGGGGTGCCAGGCTCTAAAAATCGTGTGCTACCAACGTCACAGCCACCGTCGTGATGTATACGCGTGTTTACAAGAAACGTTCGGCATCCGTCCGCCGGCGCCCGGCGTCCGACTGGAGGCCTTACACCTGCTTCCTACGAAGACAGAAGCCCTTGCCGGCGAGCCCACGCGCACCAATAATCTGCGAAGGGATCTTTTCATTCTCCTCCCCGCAAACGTTCCGGGAGGGGCTGGGACTCCAGGCGACGCTGCCGCGCCGCCAACACGCGCACTCGACGGAGCACAACACTTTCTGAGCTGCCATCAATTTTTAATTTATTGGATCCAAGAGAAAATAACAACCGAGGGGAGGGAAGGAGGGAGACGGGTGGATGGGAGAGAGAAGGAATCAATTCTTGGTGGAGAAAATAATCTATGACTAGATGGCGCTTAAAGGCACGACAAGAGGTTTTATGAAGTTCTCGAACATTGGGAATAATGAAGTGCCCGGCGAGGCGGCGGAGATAAGAACGGATCCGAGGCCCAGCCAGGCGAGCGTTAGGGGGAATGTCCTCACGGGGCCAGGGGGTTAGGACGCGTCTGAGGGTGGGAGCCACCGTCCGGTCGCCTGCCCCCTCTGCCCGCCGAATTCCTGCAGCCAGTGAGGCCAGCCTGCAAGACCCAGGGCGGCCTCCGGCCCTGGGAGGACACAGCCTGGCGGTCGAAGCAGGCCACGTGGCACAGGTGAACTCCCTCACCTGACCGCCTGCCCTCTCAGGAGGGCTGAGCAGGGCGCCCCGCCCAGGTCTCAGAGCTGCTGGCCTAGGCCCTGTGCCTCTCCCACATCCTCCAAAGGCCTCCTCTCTAGCGCCCTCAAGTCCGCTGTTAGGTCGGGCACACGCAGGGCCACCAAACCCAAGGGGCCCTTTCTGCTCCCCCCTCTCAACCCCAGCTCTAGCCTCCAGTGAAACTGTGTGATTTCTGGCATCCGGGTAGGAAGACAGGGGGAAGACCCGTGGATATGACCTGGGGTCTGGCTGAGGGGCCTGCGGGGGAGGGCCTGAGCCTGGCCTGCATTCCAGGAAGGCAAAGCTCCTGTTGGGGGTACAGGAAGAATGTCAGTCGCCAGCCCCCGTGGGGAGGTCTGAGGGTGGGAGGAGGACCCCCCCCACAGACAGCACTGCCCTATACCCCTCAGCCTGTTTTCAGGGTGCTTTTGGCATATTAACAACAGCTCCTTGAAAAACACCCTTAACTTACGCTGCAGACCATCACCACCCAAGCCTCCCTTCCTCCCACCGCATCCACCTCTCCAGAGCTCCCAAATCTGAGCTCAGGGGGCCTGGTCTCACACATTCAAAAGCAGCCAAAAAAAAAAAGGCAAAATGAATAAGGAAAGCAGCGTTCAGGTGCATTCACAGACCCTGTCCATGACTGAAAGGTTACTAACAAAAAGCCAACTCCACAAAACCAGAGAATGGAGTGACCCATGTTTTGATAAATAAAATAGTTGCTTTAAAAGAAAGAAAAGAAAAAAGATTTACCACCGTAGAAACCTTTCCAAGCACGTTCAGAAGAGTCCAAAAGCTGGAAATGCCTTACATCTTCAGAGCCACAACAGGGCTCATCAGGATGGGATATAAAAGCATGCTTTGAGGCCAAATGAAGAGATTTGTTTTATTTAATGCTGTGCTTTTTCAAAGGTGCTAAGCAGAAGAAAAGAAAGGACCTTCCAATACAGGACACCAGGCTGCTGAAGCCTTTCACTGGAGGACATTCTCTGAGGCTCAGAGCAACAGAGGAGGGACAGAAGCCATTTTCAACATCTCCTTTCCAAGGTAGAAATTTAAACATGACCCCATTTAAAAAAAAATTCTTAGCAGCACATCCATTTCTGAAGCACACGCTAATCGCAGTAACGTTGGCATTCAACTTTCTCCAGTCATTTGTGCGCGTTGTTTTAGCAGAGGACTCACCAGCACGTTCACAAATGTATTTGTGTTTCTGCAGTTCAGTGGAAGGAGGTCATAAAAAAGTTGTATAAAACAGACGATTTTTTTTTTAACTTTGAAGTTACTTAATTTTGTGTGGTCTGGGATTTCACTCTAGTAAAATAACTCAGGCTGGCTAATTCAACACCCAAGCAGATTATCAGCTCTCTTGGAAAAAAAAAGAAAGGAAGAAAGAAAAAAAAGAAATAAAGAATGAATTTCTTGAATTTCAGGAACCACACAAAAGACTTGGCGTGTGTCAAAATGCCGGACAAAAAGTCCCGGTGAACGCAGCACCATTAATCAAACCTCGATCTGGTGTCACTTTTGCCAGTAAAACTGACGCTATCCCCCCCCCCCAAACCCTCCCTCCCGCCACTGGCTCGTGCAGAAGACGAAAGAAGTGTGTCCCTGTGCTTGTGTGGGTCCCCAAATAGCCTGCTATTGGCACTTTTTATACAGGCCCTGGGGAAACCCCTGCTCCAAAGAGGCAGTCAACAAACGGCGTTTCTTGGGGAGGGGGTAGAGAAACGAGGACCAGAACAGGAGCAGATCTCGCTGGCTCTCTGGGAAGAAAGAGAGATTTCTGGGAAGAAGGAATGGGGTGGGGGTGCGGGGAACGGGCACAGGGCACTCAGGACCTCAGACCCAATCGTGTGCGTGAATGAAGAGCACTGCGAAATGACAAAGCCATATGCAGAGCAGCTGGGTGACAGACCTTCATTCCCAGTATTTCTCTGGGCCCTCTCCCCGTGAAAAAATACATCACTGTGCCTACCACTAACACCACCTTAAGAGAAGGACAGGTGGCCGCCATCAGCTACTTGACCGTGTGGTGCTGGGTGCAGTCCCCAAGGAGCATTTATTTTTCCTCGTCCTCCCCGATGTGACCCCAGCAGTAAACCTGGAGTCGCAAGTCCTTGGAGAGCTTCGGCTAAAGGTAGGCCCTATTGGGACAGCCAGAGGGCCCTCCCTCTAGACACAAGAGACACAGGAGGCCATCCCGAAGGTCAAGAACCCCATCTCTACCCTCCCCATATTACATTGTTTTTGTCAAGCACCGTCATCTCTGCGGTCTGTGTTTAGTTACAGCTTGTGAAACTCTCCCAAGTTCCAAGGCGGAGGGGTGGCGATTTCTAAACTGAATTTTTTTAACGGTATTCTGAAGGTCAAAGGCCACTGCCCAGCCCAAGGCTGCGAGGTGACTGCACCACTTCCATCCTGAATTGTCAGATGAGCTCGCGGCCGCGCTACGCTCACGACTGGCTCAATTCAAACATTAAATGAAGTAGAGAAATCATCAGATAAATTGCTGGCCCTCCGCGCTGGAGAGTGAAGCCTCTTTCTCAGCTGATGACAGCACTAGGCTTTTGTCTGACCTAATTTATTTCTCTTTCAGGTTAGAATAAAGCCCTCTTTCCCATCTCAGGGCAACCTCTTCTGCCCATATATTGAACTCAGGCACAAGACTCGGGGTTAACTGTGCTGTCTGCAGATTTCTTGAACTTGGAGAAGACATCATAGATCCAGAAATCCCGTGATCAAAAGCACACATATGCCCCAGCACTAAATTACACGTTTAGGAGAGAAAGAGTCTCATTAAAAGCCAACCGTTAAGGGCACTGTTTGGGGTGAAAGCTTTAGCAAGCCTATACTCCTTCCAAACAAAGTTTTACACATTATTTGAGTTGGCATTTGATATCTTCGGGGAATGGCGCTATTTCCCTTAGTACAGTGGGAACATTACCTAATAAATGGCATTGAGGATCCAAGTGTTATAAAACCTGAGCTGAAAGGATTTCCATTCATCAAGCTCCTTTAGGAGCATGACTCCCAAAAGCAGTGCTTCTCGACCGTTCCCTGGGTCTCTGACATGCAACACAGAAATGGACAAAATGATGGACGCTCTTCCCAGACCGCCCCCCAACCTGATCACAGATGCCCTAAGAGCCTAATGGAATTTTCAGAAAGTCAAGACCACAGACTAACGGGGGGAAACACACCCATTCGAGCTAACCATTTTAATTGTTTAAAAAAAAATCAGGAAGAGGAAGGAAGAAAAAAGAAAGAAAGAAAGAAAAAGGCCCCTGTCTGCCTAGTGAGGGCTTGTAAATCAATGCCAACGGCTTGAAAATGATTTCTCAAACTTATATTCTCATTTTGTCCCGCTCGAATCTCTGCAGGAAAATCAATATTACAACTTCACACTTAAGACATTTTGCAGCAGCAACGCAAACTGCTGCGGCAGCGGATGGAAGCCCACGGAAGCCCGTTCCTGGCCCATTGTAGCGGAGGCGCCAAGCCATGACACGGGCACCGAGCTCCCCCTAGCTGCCAAGTGGCACCAGGCGGGGCTCGGCGTTTCAGGCTTGCCATCAACCAAAAGCCAATTCAACTGAAAGTTTATTTTGGAGAAGTATTTTATCACAACAAGCAACAGAGAATGCAGAGCGATTGAGAAAGGAGATGAAAAGGAGAAAGGGAATGCTGGTGCAAGACGTGTGCTCTAAGCGAAAAGCGTCAAGAGCTCGATTCTGATAAGACGCTAGAAACTGGTGCGTTCGACAGTAGGCAGCTGCTGTCTGTAAACGAACTGTTCCGCGTGCTTCCATCTCACCTGAGACCTAATGCTAATTACCATCAGATGCACCTAGAGCTGGTCTTGTCCTCAGTCAGTAAGCCCCATTCGGCCCTGCACGGCAGACAGCAAAGTGTCACACCCCAGCCATCTGACCTCAGCCTCCCTCCATGTTCCTAAGGCCGGCTTCACCAAAGCCACTTGCATTCGCTCCGGCACTTGAGAAATGACTCGTTTTCTGTTACGAAATATTTTGAAGGCCAGACAAAAATCGCCAAGGCCAAAGTCCAGGCAGATAGCAAGCTCCCCACCCTTAAAGAAAAAAATATGCATATGTACATAATATTCA